GGAAATTCACAGACCGTTAACTTGTAGGACCAAAATCCAGTGGAGGAGAAGTTGCGGCTGACATTCCGCACGCAAATACCGTCGACAGTTAATGAATATTGCGCGGCTATCCCGCTGTGGCTGATGGACATCGGTTTAAGTATTCATACCTCAAATTTCGGTTTACATCAATAGACCTTAGTTTAAACTAACTCACTCCAGACTAGCGGTTGATTTCCGAGGTTGTTAAAAAGCAACAAATTCTATCCGCTGACCGAATGAGCACTCCATATGGGCACAATCGGCTTCATCGACTGATAGTTTTGTCTCTCGAATGCGACCCTGGTCGTCTCTAGTCCAGAAGGACAGTACTGACATGGGTGTCAATTGGATTACGGTATAAGAGACTTTATTAGCGTCTACATCACTCGCCTCCCTCAGAGCTGTCAGTTTCCAACAGCGAGCGTGGGGGCAGGGTCACATCACAGCTAATTCTCTCCTATCGATCGAGCCGAACTATGCACGCAACTTCACGTCAATCGAAGATTCTGTCAGGATGTGACTGCTATGCACGTCCCAGCTTCTCGCAGCTCCATCCTGGATCTGAGTTTCAGCCAGGGTCAGGTTGAAATGACCACATCGTGCTGCTAGTGCGACTGTCATTCCGTGGAGATTTCTGTCCATTCCTGAACCAACTGTGCGTCTCGTCGATTACTTGTTTACCTAATTATACTTGGTACGACCGCGAGACTATGCCTGGTCATGCCAGCCTCGTTGGTGTCGCGAATTGTTTATGCGATACACCGTATCAGTGGGTCTGGAGAGTCCGAACCAGCGAAGATCCAGGAACCACTCCTGTGTGTTAACGGGCTGTGTTTTAGCAGGCTTTTGAATTGATTTTTTTTATCAGGCGGATGTTCAGTACACGCGGATCTTGTAGGGATTGAGATATCGCCTCGGGCGCATGCAGACTTTCCAAGTATTGTGGAAACCCTGCAAGCAGCAGCGATTCGGGAGACGATGTCATCCCTGTTATTTTCACTCGGCAGTTGTCTCTTTCGAGGTGTTTGAAACTGTCCACCCGTTCCTCTCAACAGCAATTTTTTCCGAGGAGCTCCTTTTTCCCGTCAGGGATGCAGTCTGACAATACCTTGGCCTTTTCAGCGACTGATTTAGAGACTTCTTCCACCCGCGACACCACAGACTGTAGACCACCAAAGCCTAAGACTAACAGGGCGATACCTTAAACGTAGTCGAGGTAACTCCGTCGTCATTCGGGTGCCCATTGGACACTTGTGTTGGTCCATTCAGCGACAACAGACTGAAACCTTGTCGATAGCCAGACAGAATAGAGGGAGGGATTGTTTTGAACCAGAACTTGCGAACGGGTAGGCCGTGATCACGGCGGTGGCCTTGACCATCCTACTGCCCCAGGGAATCACAGTAGACGGGGTCGATCGGTGCGATGAAGTCTACAAAGTCGTCGGTCGATAGTAGCCCAGCAGGGTCCAAAGATGCACCGCTGCCTCAATACTCTGTTAGTGCATCCACATTTGACTGGGAACCCACAATTGGTGACCTAACTCCTGAGGTATGCCTAATCTGGCGAAAAATCACAAACCAATCTGGAACCAGTCCAAACGCATCCGCCAGCACGTCAAGCTAACAATAAGCAACCTCCAGTTAAATAGGGATGTAAAATAAATATTACGGGTACCATTTCGTTAATGAGAAAGAACAAGTTTTTTTTTTCGAAGAAAGTGCAAATGTCGGAAACGCGAAAATTCGTGTCCCATAAGCAGACTCAACTTTTAGAAGCACGCAACGCTTGCCCATGCAGGAAAAAATTAAGTAAAACGGTATAACGACAGTAGTATTTAGAATATTATTTTCATTTAATGTCCTCCAAAAATTAGTGTTATGTGACGTCTGGCACAAAGACAAGTGCATCCCGTGCGGTCACGTGTTTCAAGATCATTTCGCGCAAAATCGGTGTACTTTTTCTCTTTTGTTTTGTTCAATATGCAGTTACCCAAAGTAAGGAGGATTTCGCCGATAGAAGTGTTACAGGAATAAGACTTCCAACAAGCTCACATATTGACAGACTGGTCAGTGACTACTCAGTTTAAGTAGAATTCACAGGTGCAATTCTGAACATACCATTTTATGTATATTGAGATTTGTGTCTTTTTCTGATGGCGGCGTACATTGACTTTGAGCTCAGTTTTGAGATATCAGTATATAATTCACGATTTTCAGTGTTTTCAACCGATTGCCCATCAAGGTAGATTTTTTGTAATGTATTTACCCAAAGTCTTAAAAATAAGATATTTCTTGAAAGCGTTTACCGAAGTAGGGAGTGCTTGATCGTTCTTTCTCACGTAGATTGCCGTTTAAGTCACATTTGAAGACTCACCCAAACATGAAGACCCATTGTACTAAGATGAACGTCCACAACAAAAGTTGACGACGAATATGCCTTCAGTCTACTGAAGAGCTTTCCCTAATAAGCAA